AGTGGTCGCAACTTTCGGGTTTTGAGTCTAGTGTTGTTCGTTTGCGGTTCTTAGCTGTGGCTGCGACTCGGTTGTCAGTGTAGAGGATGTTTTACTCTATTTGAATAAATTAGACGTGTCTTTTTGTCTTCCCTTGTTTTTTTTTTTAGTCGTGCGGTGTCAGATGTCTAGTATACTTTATGAAATTTTTGTCCACTTTATGGAGTTGTTTTTTTATGGGTCTTTTTGTCTCTTTGATGAAGTTTTTACCTCCTTAGAGCACATATCTATTATTATATAAAGAGGAAACCTAAATAATTCTAAAATAGTAAACAAAAAATAAGATGAAAATCCCGCCTAAACAACTAACTAAACATAGTAAATTTTGTTTGAAAATTTCGACACATGCTGCTGGATCATTTGAATTTTTTGGAAATTTGAAAATTTTGGCATTATCCCTATTCTTCATCTTATTGTTAGCAATTTTGGGTAGTTACATGAACAAATTAATTTTAAGATGTTTCAAATTAGGTTTGTTAATATTGAAACATATCCACCTTAAAGTTTCGAAAGCATATCTTTTTTTCCTCTAATTAAATGTTAATTATTATACATGTTTGGTCTAAAACTCAAATAAAACATTTTGTGAAACAAATATCTTTTTGTGATTAAAAATAAATGTTAATATTTTTTTTAAACAAATATTAAATGTTAATTTTTATAAATTTGCAATTTGGTGAATAGAACTCAAATCAAATGTTTCGTTTAAAACTTAAGTATCTTTGGTGGATAAATAAATTTGCATTGAATAATTTAATAATTATCGAAATAAATATCTTATCATGTAGAGATTTGTGAAATCAAAACTATTATACATGTTTCGTTTGAATTTTTCAAAATTTGATAAATGTAGTCCATATCCCAAGCATTTTAAATGTGTGCGCAATTTTCTAACTACTTAACTAAAACTACTGTCTTATGTATTAATATCTATATATCTATATAAAAAGATTTACCATCTATACTTATATTAAAAGCCATACTATTTACCAAAAATAGTAGCAAGAAAAGTCAACTCACATTTAATGCATACTTTATTTGGAAATTTTTTACTATATGCATTAATTGTTTGCATATACACATTTCCTATTCAAATATAAACAAAAAGATTCTTTCCTTAAATAATTTTATTAACTTCTGCAATAATTTTAATTATATGTATTATAATTCATATTTGACGATAATATTTTTTAATTTTTATTTGAGTATATAAAAAAATATATATTTTTTTATATTAATATTTTATTTATCATTTAAGAGATAATGATCACATCATTAAATGATGTTACTGATGGCTAGATAATAAATTTAAATACATTCGTTATTCTTTAAAATTTTGACATATTATTTATTTGTATATCTATACTTATTATATAAGGTATTCTATTTACTAAATTTAGTATATTGAAAAGTCAACGTAATTAATGCATTGTTATTTCTCTCCAGAATTTTATTTAATTATTTTATTTATTTATCTTTTATCCCATAAAATCAGTTTAAGAAAAAAATCTCATAACATCTGACAAGTAAAAAAAAGGACGTAAAATATTTACTAAAATAAAAAGACTTTATTTATTTGTCTTATTCCATATTAACATCGATTTTGTCAAAACAAATTCCATAAAATCAGTGAAGCCAAAATTTGTACGTCAAGTCTATCTATACTTAAAAAAAGTCAGATTCAAAATTCTTTATCTAATTACTTCTTTTTCTTATCCATTTCCTTCTTTTCCTTATCCAATTCCTTTTTATTATCTAATTGTATGAAAATCTGTTCTGATTTTATTCGATCCTCTAATTGTATTTATATTATATTCCATAAAACCTGTTTAACAAAAAAAATCTCATAACATCCGATAAGTAAAAAAACAAAGTACGTAAAATCTTTACTAAAATAAAAAAGGTTTTATTTATTATCTAATTTATTATCTATTTGTATGGAAATCTGTTCTGATTTTATGGTACGTACTACAAATTGTGCACCCATGTTCAAGAGCTACTTAACGGACAAGCTATGTGGAAATGACTCATTTAGTGCTTCTGTCCCGTGCATACGGTATGTATTTTTATTACACATACTAAAAAATTGTGCACCCCGTGCATCGCACGAGCTCTGTACTAATAAATGACATTAAAATTATGCACCCCGTGCATCACCCGTGTTTACATTTTGGCCTATTACAGGTCACGTACTATATATATCCCGTACATATTTTTTTATAATTCATTTATATAATTATAAGACTCGATAAATGACCTTAAAATTGTACACCCCGTGCATCGCACGGGCTCTGTACTAGTTTTTCAAAAATGGCATGTCAATTTTTGGTCAAATCTCTTTCTTCATTAATTATTTACTATTAATGGCAACTTCTTTTCCCTTTTCTTTTTTTCACATTCAGCTATTAAATGCCCACAAAGTGCGGGAATTTTTCAATAATTAATTTGGTATAAACATTCCCAAAAAATGCGGCTCAATTTCTTATAATGAATACTATTCACTTTAATGATTACTATTCACTTAATTTATTTTTTACATAATATTGCATAAAATTTTATTCGTAAAATGTATGAATACAATTATATTTGATATTTCACTTTTTTTTTTATAACACGTGTATTAATACTTTTTGACATGACATAAAACTATTTTTTTTTTCATAATTACATTTTTTTAAGCACGTGTTTTTATGGATACATTTTTATTTCTAATTACCTAACATATAAGTTAGTAACACGATTTTGTTTTCTTGTAAAGAATCCCAATTTTAAGGGAAATATAAAATTATATATTATTTTAATTAGATATGTTTTTTATGTTTAAAAAAATTAAAAATTATATTGTTTCCATCTGTTGGGACTCTTTTAAAGGGTTTTATATTCTAGATATCTGAACAAAATTATAGTTATAATTTCACATAACCTCTGTTTGTTGTAAACAAATCCAGTTTATATGGAATTCTAAAATTAAACATACTTTGTAATCAACTATGATTTTTATAACCCTTTTTTATGTTTAGTAAATTTAAAATTATATTGTTTCCAAGTTTTGGGATTCTTTTTTTTCAGTTTTGGCGTGTTTTTTTTTAATTGTGAAAATCTCTACATATCAGTTATTATAAGATGTAGTGGTTGGAAACAAATCCAAATTATATGGTATTATAAAATTAAACATATCAGTTATGATATGTAGATCGATAATTTATATGTTTAATTAAATATTAATTACACGGTTTCCAACTCTTGGGACTCTTTATTGTTTTCAGATTTTAAATAATGTACATATTCTTATAAATACGGTTCTTCTAAATTCATTCTCATCTACAGATTTGCAAAAACGTTTTCCATTCGGCTTTACCCAAATTCTACTTGCATTACCGTAAAAAAACGGCCATCGGCACTGAAATCTCGAATAATATATTAGAGCAAGTTCCTTGCTTGCGGAAATTTATGATTTGACAATGCATTTATCCTAAAAATTTAATTTAGAAAATCACATTTTTCTAATTGTTGTGCACATGTCCAATAAACTAAATTTAGCGTTATTATATTCTCTGTATTTTTTACATTTATATTGCACATAAAATCTAAATGCATATTTATCATCAAATCCTATGAACTTATGTCCAATGATGACTAACATGATATATCTGATGATAAAAATAAAAAAATAAACCAACTTTGAACAAAAATTAAGATATATAGCCTATTCATAAACAATTAATAAAAAAACAAACAAACCAATTTTGTGTCGAACCTGAAACATTGCAATTATTATTTTCAAAACAATATAGAAATTATTAAGGAAAATTTTATGTTTATTTACAGTCTTATTTTGATTTACTTGATGGTCAACCTAATAATTGTTGTATGTAATTTTTTGTTTTATTTGAAGAAAATTGTGAAATACTAGGGAGAGGGAGAGAAAATAGAGAGAATCATTAAATTATGTTTCTATTATTCAACTCACTATTAAGGAAGTTACATGAATCAAACTAAAAATATACTTTGTTAGTATAACTAGGAATGTAAAATAACTATCTTCATAAAATAGGAATGAAAAATTAAACTTGGAATAAAATATAATTTATAAAATAGTTGGAAATTAGAAAAATTGTCCAAGTGTTGGGGTAATTTTTTTGGCGACAACAATCAGCATCTGCAGCCCAGGATAAAAGTCCAACAAGGGAGCCCACTTGAGTGAGGCCCAATTTCCACAGCCCTTGTGCATCCCGCATCCGGCCCGAGTCGGCCTGTGCTCCTCACAACGAGTTACCCAATAATCAAACTCATATGTTGTATACAAAGAGGTTTTTAATAATATAAGATTTTTTAGTGACGAACATTTTATGATGAATAATGTTCGTATGTATTAAACTCTCATGTATCCTAATGCATTTCAAATTATAATATTCTCCAAATTTATATATCTGTGCATTGCACGAGATACGCACTAGTATGGGCTCAAAGGGATAAGTTCATGTTTTATGTTACCCTTTTAAGATTTTCAATTATTCGATGGTATACTCTTTTGAATTTTTCAATAATTAGTATAATTACGTTTCAGGAAAAAAAAAAATGGAGGTGCAGAATGGTCAAATCCTCTTGAATAGAATGTATACACAATTACACATACACACGAACTTCGGACACTGTTTTGTCGCACTCCGTTCTCCTTTGCCCCTCACACTCCACCCTTTCAAATTACTTTTCCACTTTTTTCTTTCCCCTTTCTTTCTCTCTCACACACGCTGTGTGTTCCGGCGCCGCTGTACGCTGTAGCAACCATCTCCAGAAAACCACCCCAAGAAACAGTCTTTTCAGCTTCAAACACATTTCCACCTTTTTTTTTCCCTTTTTAATTCCCCCCTAAAATCGAAACACACTCGAGCGGATTCTGTTCCCAAACACCCTCTAAACCCACCGCCGGCCGCCGCCAATCCCAGACCCACGCGCGGAGAATGCGCGCTCCTGCGCCCGCCCTCCTCCTCATCCTCATCGCCGCCCTCGGCGCGTTCCCCCCACGCGCCGCCCCGAAGTCGACCATCGAGCCCTGCTCGGACTCCGGCGTCTGCTCGGCCCTGGTGAGCTACACCCTCTACACCGACCTGAAGGTCTCGCAGGTGGCCTCCCTTTTCGGCGTCGACCCCATCGCCCTCCTCCTTGCCAACGCCTTCGACGCCTCCCTCCCCGACGTCGAGAACCACATCCTCCCCTCTGACCTCCTCCTCAAGGTCCCCGTCCGCTGCGCCTGCCTCAACGGCATCCGCCAAGCCGCCGGCGTCACCTACCGCACCATCGCCTCCGACACCGTCGCCTCCATCTCCACCGCCGTCTACGGCGGCCTCGTCTCCCCCGACCAGATCGCATCCGCAAACCCTCACGCCGGCATCACGGACGCCGTCATCCCCACCGGGACCCAGCTGAGCATCCCTCTCCCCTGCACCTGCTTCAACAACACAGACAACAACCTGCCGGCGGTCTACATGTCCTACGTGGTGAACGGGAGCGCGGACACCCTTTCTGAGATCGCCGCCAGTTACCAGACCACAGTGACTGATTTGATGAATGTCAACAATATGGCCAGTCAGGATCTTCAGGGCGGTGATATTCTTGCTATCCCCTTGTCTGGTTAGTGATACTCTTTCTCTCTCTCTCTCTCTCTCTCTCTCTCTCTCTCTCTCTCTCTCTCTCTAAAAAGGTTACATCTTTTATGTTTGTTCTTTTTTGTTTTGTAATAAAGTTTGTTTTGATGTGGTGTTAATGATGTAATGTTGAGCCAATTAGGGAATTGAGTTGTTCTGTTAATGTGGTAATGATTTTGCAGCTGCTTTCTATATGCATATGTGCAGGGGAATTGGTACATAATTACATAATTTTGTTGAGAAAGAAACTGACATTATTTGAATGTTGTTTTGCCCTTTTGCAAGTATGCATAATTAGGTGGTTCTTTCTTGGTATTGTTTGTGGAGACTTTGTTTTCCTAAGATTATCTCTTTTTCTTTGATTAGCTTATGTGGTTCTGTTTGATTTTAGACAATTTGTAGACTTTGGTATTATGTTCTTAATTTGCAGAACGCTTAAAACGGCACCCATCTTATTCATTGTCTTGCATTTGTGTTGGTTGTCAAGTAACACACTTGTTCGTGGCTTGTGGTCAGAATTTTGGTTATATTTTCTTGCATTTTGCCTTGCTGCAGTTGAAATTGTATGCAAAACACTTTACCCTTTTATTTCTTTTGTTGTATAGTTCTCCTCGTCACTACAAGACCACTAGGTACTCTAAAACCAGATTCATATGTTCACATAATATACTTTTTTCACTCTGAAAGACATACCATTATTCCAATTTCAAGAAAAATTCTCTAGGGATAAGAATGTTTGTGTATGCCTTAATTTGGTGGATTATTTTTGTGTATAATGCATCTTGGTTTACTTACTTGTTTGATATACTCAATAAATTGTCATGTTATTGTAACAATTATTCAGCTTGTGCATCGAATTTCCCGATCTACGCCGAGGACTACGGCCTGGTTGTGCCCAACGGTAGTTATGCCATTACCGCCAGTCACTGTGTGTTGTGCAGTTGTGGGTCCGGGAGCCGCAAGTGAGCACAACACGTTTTTATTACGTGTACTCTTCCTGTACTTGCTTAGAAGAGAGATTCTCTAACACAAGTTAATGTTTTTTTTTTTTCTTTTTTCTTCATGTTTTGCAGTTTGTACTGTGAGCCATCCCCATTAGCAGTTTCTTGTTCGAGCATGCAATGCCCGAACAGTAATCTCATGATTGGTAATGTTACCGCCCAACAATCTGCAGGCGGATGCAATGTGACTTCCTGCAGTTACAGTGGATTTGTGAACAAGACTATATCTGCTACGTAAGCAAAAGATTGACTCTTTATATACTTGTTGAATTTTGTCTTTGGCTGTATAGAAATGGAACTTGACTCAGTGTCTTGTCTTTGCATGCAGGCTGTCCACATACCTGCAACCTAGATGCCCAGGTAAAACTCTTTATAACCATTCATTTCATACGCGTTAAATTTTTCGATTCTACTCATCAATCTAGCATTCGATCATGTGCATTGACTCTAGCAAACCAACCTAAAAACGTTGATCTCAACCTAATTTTTAGGATTAATTTTACTCTTTTTTAAAAAAATAAAAAATTCTACAGGACCGCAGCAGCTTCCTCAGCTGAGTGCTCCACCAACGACGGCCCCGAAATTATATTCTCCGGCGCCAGCCCCATCAGAGCCCGGCGGCATTCCTTCATCGAGCCCTATATCCTCCCCCACGGTGCCCTCATCCGGTGTGAGTATTGGTCTTCCCCCAGCTGGTGGGCCCACTGGGAGCACTCCTGGATCGTCTGCCACATGCTCGTTAATGGGCCAATTGACTCACTTTCATGTGATGTTGCTAGTATTGGGTTTGGCTATCGAGCTTGTGTTGTTGTCGTTCATGGAACTATAATCTCTTCGCTCGTGTAGTGCCGGATTGTGTAACACTGTGACCTTGATTTTTCTCTTTTTTGTTGTATTTAGACGATCTGTTAGGATTGCTCAAGGAACTTTGGAGTCATTCCATATTTTGCTGACAATTTTCTGGGTATTGTTTGGGGTGACCTCAATTTCAACCATTTTGTAGTGATTTTGTGTTCATTTATCATTTATGTAACAATTCGATTCTCGAGGATGGCATTGTAATTTCACTGTAACATAGTATCAATGTGCGCAATTGATCCCAAATTATGTTCCCAGGCCCAGCTTCAGCCTTCAACAGCAGCTACACCAATACGATTCTGAATTTGGCAGCGAGTTTCCTAGAGAGATAAGAAACCGAAAACGATGTCGTCACAGATGAGGATGGCAGCGAATTCGAGTTCGCTTTCGCGGGGAGAGGCTTCGGGATGCCGTCGTCGGTCTTCTACAACTGCCAGTACCGGGCCATATCTTCTGCAACAATGAATTTGCCGACGAGTTTCACGCAGATCCAAAAAACAAGGCAATTTATGCGAACCGCTTACCCGTTCTAATCAATTCCGGTTCACCGGTTCAATTGGCTTTCCACCGATTCTAACAGTTATCTCCCGGTTTTGGATCTCAACGATTAAAGTCACTGAACCGAACCAGTATGAAAGCCGGTTCCCGGTCAAACCGATCGAACCGGCTGGTCCGGTCCGATTAAAAGTCATGTTTATAAGCCTAGTGGAATACTCTCATACTACCAATTAATTTTGAGATAGACCGCACCCGTTATACCTCGATTCTTACATGGTATCAGAGTCGATTCTACGTAGGACCTGCACCCGTTATCTCCTGATTCTTACATGATATCAAAGCCGATTCTACGTGAGACCTGCGATGACGTACATGTTACCCAGCCTTTATGCTCGATGGGGTGAAAATTTCCAAGTATTAATTAACAATTAGAACAAATAATGTTATGATTTGTGAAAATCATCTGTAAAAATCTAATCTCATGAGTTATTCTTTTCAGGAGAGGGTTACTCTACAATATAGGGAAAATAAGGGGTTGGATTTTAATTATTTTGTCAACTTGTATCATCACTTTTCATGCCCAAAGCCTTTTTAGTGCATCTCCAGTGCCTCACCGTCAACATTATTTTTTTTTGCCACGTGGCAATAAACAATTGGACTATGAATCAAAGAAAGTACTGTGTAAATAATAATAATAATAATTGTTTTGTACCAAAAAAAAAATAATAATAATAATAATTGTTGATTACAATCTCTCATACATACTTTCATTCATGCATATATTTATATTTATATTCATGCATATATTTATATGTATATGTTAACATATACAAAATAAAAGAATAAAGTAGTTTTTAGAAGAGTAATAAACAAAATAAAATGATAAATTAATTTTAAAAGATAAAATGAATTCATTGAATAAAACATATCAACATTCTTATATATATATATAATAGAATACATATATATATAATAGAACTAAATGAATGATAAAATTGATAAAACATGTGTAACACTTAAACTTTTTTCAAGATAAAACCTATAACACACCAACAAAAAAAACAATAAAACCAAATAAATTACAAAATTGGAAAATGTTTATAATACCTAATTTTGAGACAAAAAAAAAAAATACTAAAATTATAAAATTGAGAAAATATGAGTAACACCTAATTTTGGGAAAATAAAATATTAAAATTCTAAGTACAATTAGTTGTTAATTGGCTTATTTCCACGAAATAAAATATATAATAAAGTAGTTTATTTTTTATTTTTTAATTTTAAAAGGGTAATTACTAAAAAAAATTAATTATTTTTATTATAAAACCAAATAAATAATAAAATTTAGAAAACACTAAATTTGAGAAAAAAAACATACGATTAATTACGAATTAAAAAGGTTGCTCTATCTCCTAGGAAATAAAATAAATATTAAAATTTAATTTTAAAAATATTGAAAGTGTAATTACTAAAAAATACTAAATTTCGAATAAAAAAAGTTGGCTTTTATCTCCACGGAATAGAATAAATATTAAACTAGTTTAGTTTCTTAAAATATTGAAAGTGTTTACTAACAAACACTAAATTTGTAGTTGTAACATGCATTGATTATTTTAAATTTAAAAATGATTTTCATCTACAAAAAAAATTCAAATTAAATAGTATTTGCAGCGACTTTTTTTTCCATTTTGATATTTGTTTTCTTAGTGGTTTGATATTTGTTTTCTCAGTGAGGTAAAATGTTAACCCGTGTCATCGTAACAATTCCCACAAAATAGCCCAATGGTGGAAATACTATACAGACAAAATACAATTCAAATCAATAAATATAAATTTTATACTCATTATCATGACAACGTTCATTTTTAGTACATACATAAATTTATGCTAATTCAAAATTTGATTTGAAAATACATAGTACATCTCATTTCTAATAAAAAAATACAAAAAAAAGTGTAAACTACATTAAATACATATTTTCTAATCATGTAATGATACCATTTTTATTTAAAAGAAAACATGAATAAATTTTATCCCTTTCTAGTCACGATATAGACCAAGTACAGTTCATCTCTAATCCAACATAAAAGTTCCAAATCTTCTCACTCCTCACATTTTTATCTATATAAACAACATCAGTTTAGCTTTATATTTTTAGCATTAGTTTAATTAGCTTTATAGTTTTGAGCAATTAATCACATTTTCATCTCTATAATATATTTTGAGCGATTCACATTATACAATTTATAAGAAAAAATATGGCATTTCAATCTTCTGATAACCAAGATTGTAGCATTGATCAGAACCATCAGGTATGCTAGTGAAAAGTTCCATAAAGTTCTATTTTAGTGCACATAGATATAATTATAATTTTGTGTTTTTTAATATATGTTCATATAAAATTGTGTAATATATATATATATATATATATATATATATATTGCATTTTATATGTTCTTTTTATTTTTTTTCATCATGAAGTGGTCTGAAGAGTTTCAATGCGAAATCGTGGATGGTGTACTGGCACCCACGCCGATTTCTTATAGCTACACGCCATTGGCTTATAATAAGGTATTCTTTTTATTTAATCATTTTTATACAAAAATGTAAATGAATATTCCATTATTATTTATTTATATGTTTATATTATTATTATAATTATAATTATTATTATTATTATTATTATTATTATTATTATTATTTATTGCAGCAAACATCACAACCAATGGCAAGATCATATCATGCTGAGAGTGCAGAGGCAAGTACACAAATTCTCTAATCTCTCTAACATACCATGAACAATGGTATTGTGCATAATCTATATATATAATTGCTGGCTCATGAGCATTTAATAAAACTTATTAAATTATACCTATGTGGCAATATAATTTTTTCCCTCCAAAAACCGTTACTTTTTATTTATTTACCTATCACTTAATTATTAAATAATCAATACATTAATCACTTCAAAATTACAAAAATCATTTTAAGCTGACCTTATAATGTGTTGACTATTTAACGTGATTAAATATTATTGTTGTGGTTACATTTACATTAACTTCTTTTAGGAAATAAAAACATATTTGAAATTCCTAAATAAATAATAAATAATTGACAAAAAAAAGTTACATACCAAAATATACATTACATCCAATATGATAAACACAATTTTAAAAAAATAAATATTTTAGCTCCTTTATTTGTAAATTTGGTAAAAATTATCATTATATGCATACAAATAACTTACAATACTTTATTTATAAATTTGTGCAAATGCACAGGTCGAATACTAGTTAGTGTTGAAAGAGCGCGAATATCTAAATTTCAAAAGAAAAACATATATAGAATGAAATACAAATTCTATTTAAAGGCTATTCATCTCATGCTATTTAACAAATTAATATAAATAATTGATTTTCCATACCAGCAACAAGGATTAATCCAAAGTGGCGAATCTTCAAGCAACAAGCTACGCAATAAACGCAAAAGTGAAGGAGACGAGCCATTGTCTTTTAGACTCTTCAAGTTCATGAATGGTGCCGAAGAATACCTCATCGAAGTCCATGAGGTGTATATTATATACCATGATATATTGGTCTAATAACTCACACACACACACACACACACACACACACATATATATATATAATATTTTGTCTCTCCATTTGTGTTTTTATTTCAAAGTTGGCAATGTAAAATGTGTGTATACATATAGGTGACAACGAGTATCACTAGTCAATCATATATACGAGTGTTCGAACAAGAAGGCACATGGCGTATGACTTCAACCGGAAGTGACCATGACCTAGAAAACCATATGGTGCAACCATGGTCGGAGGATCCAAACCCTCCTTTATTCGTCAAGAATGCGGAGGCCTCGCTCCAAGAGCGTCTAACCGGTTGGACGCTTGAGAAAAGGCAAAGATCTAATGGGAAATATGATGCGGTATAGTTTGTGCAAAAGTTGTGCATTTTTTTGAAAAGTTCATAAAACAAAAGTATGCATTTGAATATGTTAAAATCTCTAATTCTTTTTGTGATGCTTAATTTTGACAGTTCTATTATCACCGGCGAAAACAATATAGATCCTTTTACGAGATGGCGACATTCATACTATATGCGAACAAGAGGCTGGAGGACCTACAACTTACTAACAATGCCGGTGTGTGATTTGAGCAATCACAAGTTCTGCGCTCAATTATTTTGTTTGTATCCAAGATTGAGTATCTATCTATCCCAATTGATTATTGCAATGTTTGTTGGTTTGTGCTTTTTCTACATTGTTTTGGTAATTATTTTTGCCAAAAATGTGTTTTATTAGAGCTGTTTGTGATTTTGAATATTGATTGTTCTGTAATGTTTTCTAAGAGTGAAAGTTTGAAGGTACTTTTGATTCTGTTTCTTCTTGAATGAAATAAAAACAGGACAAATTTGAATGCCACAAAAGAAAAAATAAAATAAAAAATGATATAT